GTAATATTAAAAAACAAAGTTAACATGGAAGCTTGAAAATAAAAAAAAAATAACTCAGCAACTGGTTAGACATTTTGGGTTTTTTGTGCTATATTTTTTGTGCTTATCTCATTTAGTGTTTAATATCATTTTCAAGGGTACCTCGTATTCAGATGAGTTGTGCTTCAAACTCTTTGGGAATTACTGCTCCAAAGAAGCTAGCGTAACCTTCGTTATACAAAGAAGTCCCAGTGGTGCAGTCGCCACGGGCTGGACTGCTAACCAAGTGCGCAGTCAGTCAGTTCAAACCCGGCAGCTGCTCGCTGGGAGAAAGATGCGGCGATCCGCCTCCACAAAGACCAGCGCTCTGGGAACCCTGCGGGGCGCTCTGCCTTATACAGTCGTCGTGCGTCAGAATTGACTGACGAGTGACGGATTGGATTGGATTGGATTAGCGTGGTCACGGTATATTCAAGTTCCCACAGCCAAAAGTCCAGATTGTAGAATACTGGTAAACCTTGCAAATAAGATTTCGTTTTACTCATGGTAATGTTGGACAAGTTGAAAAATGGGGGGAAACTACTCCAAACCAATAAAAACAAACGCATTGTCATCAAGTCGATTCTGACTCTGTAGCACCGGGTAGAACCGCCCCAGTGGGTTTCTGAGACTGTAACTCTCTATGGGAGTACAAAGACTTCTGCGGATCGCCTGATGGTTTTGAACTGATGACCTGTGGTTAGCAGCCCAAAGTGTAACTACTTCACCACTAGCACTCCTAACTTCACAAGACAAGGAAATTTTTTTTCTCAAAAGGCTAAGTACATTAATCCTAAAGTATACAAATTAATTCCTAGCAACTGTTTAATATTACTTCTAGTAATGTTTGAGCTCATAGATATAGATGAAATGGAATTATCAAGTTTCTCAGAAAAAAATTTGGGGGTGGGTGGGGTTCAAATGTGCTGTAACCCGTAGTCTCTACGTGTCCTACACCCTGTCTTCTGTTCCAGTGTGCAGTCCTTTGCGATTGATTCGTCTATTAGTGTCCTCGTGTGAATCCGAGGGTTGGTTTTTCAGTTTTTGCAAAGACTTGTTGAGATTTTGTATTGGGATGGTGTTGAGTCTACAGATTGCTCCAGGTAGTGTCTTAATAAGTCTTGCAACACATAAATGCAAGATGTCTCCCTTTGTTTAGAATCCTCTTTTAACGTATTTCAGCAATGTGTTGAATGTATTTTTTTAACTCCCTAGTTGAACTTATTCCTAGATACTTTATTATTTTAGCTATTATAAATAGAATTGTTTGTTTCATTTCCTTTTCCGAATATTGCGACTTTGAATTATTTGCTAGTTCTTGTAAATAGTTGGGAGGGGGTGTTCTATTTACAAGGATCATGTCATCTGCAAATAGAGATCATTTTAGTTCTTCTTTTCCAATATAGTTACCTTGATTTCTTTGTCCTGCCTAATTGTTCTGGCTATAATTTTCAGCACATAATTAATCAGCAGAGACATCTTTGTCTTGTTCCTGATTTCAGAAATAAAGCTTTCTGCCTTTCTCCCTTGAGTATGGTGTTAGCTGTGGATTTTGTAAATAAATAAAACACTCTGTATCCTATTGAGGAATCTCTTTTTTTGCTCTAGTTTTTATGAGTGTTTTAATCATGAAAGGGAAACATTCAAAATATTAATTGACCACGAGCTCAATTCAAGCCAGAAGTATGATGTGTCTGTATAAAAACAACCCTAATTAACCCCAGGACCCCATTAAAAATATGTAGTGTCCGTCAACTGACAAATAGTACTACTTCTCATCTAGTGTTATAGCAAACCTAGCAAAGTAATCAAAGAATGATATTGCTGAGTTGAAGCATTCATTGTCCTCAACCCTTGTTACCATTATCACCCTACAACCATTACAACCCGTATATGCCATTTGCAAATTGTGTAACGTTTGTTCTCCCTGGCCTTATAGCAACCTACTGCAGGAGGCGCTGTTAGCCTGTCTCACAATCTCTGTTGTAAACGTGGAGTTCGAGCCTAAGCTATGTAGATAACATCTTGTGACCGTAATCAAGCTACATAGATTGCATGGTCATCAACCTAGTTCATTTCAATAAAACTCATTCTTACTCTGAACATCATATCTGATGATCTGTTCAGGAAACTGAGAAGATTATACCATAAGAGACTTACAGAACATGAAAACTGTCTTCAAGAATTTGAAATTCTTGTACATGAGAGAGAATAATTTGTATGATTTCAGATCAAAGAATAAAGACCAGTTGATAGAATCTACATGTTGATGAAAAAATTTATCCAATTTTTTACCGTGGTGAGTATTAGGAATGTGTATTTAAAACAAAAAATGGACAATTTTCAACATTTTTATATACAATTCAGTGACATTAATTGCGTTCATATTATACAAGCATCACCGCTGTCCATTTCCACATTCTTTCATCACTCTTAATGGGTGCTCATTGCTCATTTTTGCTTACTTTTTAAAAAAATTCAAAACAAACTACCCAATAATGGATATCTTTATGCACACATTGGCTACCTAACTCTCCGAGTTGAAGTAAAGTGAATTCCTGTCTCAGGAAGAAGATTAAATTGGATGTCCCCTGGAGTGGCATCCAACTCAAGAGCATCTGACTCGTGCTTGATTTGGATGAGTTGATCAATGAGTAGATATGTAATTTATAGTTTTGATTTGAAGTTGTTTGTTTTACAGTTTCATCCGTGGCAATGTAATTGTTTTTCCTATAATTTAAGATTAACATACTCCATTTGTGAGGGGAAAAAAAACTCTTAAGAGGCTGAAACAAGGAAGTAAAGCATGGGGAGTGCTTGGTGTAATTACCTACAGAAGAAATAGTATGCTATTTCCCAGAATACATTCCCAGAGTGAATGTCCGCATTTGTTCCATTTCATTCCTAACTCTAGAATCTTATCAGGGGTGATGAGGAGAATCATTTTGAAATATATTTGAGCAGAGAATAGAGTTTGCAAAGTATTATTAGGTTTGCTAAGGCGAGCCTGTGCAAATGCAAGCTGTCAGTATACGCTTTAAAAACCAGCCCCTACACAAGAAAAGGTCCTTGAAATGACTTATTAAAAGCCACAAAGTGATAGTGGTTGAAAATTCATAAAATTTACTTTGGAGCGTGCTCTTCCAGCCTGCTTTCTATAGCTAGTATATTCCTTTCCTAAGTGGGATAGTTGTTCATGAAGAGCTAGTATAACCAAGATTGAAAAATACAAATTATTTCAAAATTGATATAAAAAAAGGTTCCCAAGAGAATGAAATATGTAGGGGAGAGTAAACATATCCAATTAAGACCGCCTTTTGCTTCTATCCTGTTTACTGCTTGTTTGGTAGAAGGAACTTCTCAGTCCTCGTAGCCACTTGCTGAGGTCTAACAAGTTAACTCGCGTGCGTTTCCAAAGGAGATGACTCCATAATGAATCTTTAATATGAATAAGCTCAACAGCTGGATGTTCTTGGCTTGTGTGCTTTGTGGGTGTGTTTTGTTTTGAACTTTCGCTTTCTTCCTCTCTCCATCCCCTTACCCATTTCTTTCCAGACTTAGTCAGTGCAGCATAGTTCTCACAGAAAGATTTGTCACTGAGTTTTGCAGATGATAACAGTCCCTGGAGACCTGGCTGCTTGATAAAATGGTGATTTAAAATAGGGAGGGTCCTTTTTATGTGCTTGATTTTGGTGTTTGGATAGCAATCCAATATTTAGCCCTCTATCTTGCTCATACAACTTAAAATAAGGATGGCAAAGAATTCCTGTGCTACCCTTGGCCCAGTCAGCATCATTAACCTTTTAGTGGATTCCTTAGAGGCAAAGCCAGGTCTTACTGATCATTGGAACTGTAGTGTTCTCCAGAGGCTTGTGCAATAAGAGCTTATGAATTGAAAACCCAAGTATTAAAAAGGAATTTTAAAATAAGCTGCAATTTCCCCTTCTAGAAAACTGCATTAGATGGAAATTTCAAGGAACCAGGGAGCTGGAGAGAAAGATGGCAAATTTCCTCTCTAATGTCTTGTCTAATGTGAAATTTTAGGAGTTTTAGTTTAAAATTAAAAACGGCATCAAGCCTTCACCAAATCTCTTGGGGCTAAATATGTTTTGGTGTTCTGGAATTGTGTGTTTTAGAGAAAAAAATTACAGTATTTATATCTTTTCATTACAGAATCTCCCAGTGCATTTCTAAATATATGACTAATCCCATAGGAAAATCATGTGAACAGTCACATGTAAAGATAAAGTGAAATATAAAGACATCAAACTGCTTCAGGGCAGAATTTGTAGCCAAATTAGTTCCGATTGAATTGATCACTAAATTAGTATGGAGCACTTTGCTGTTTGCGGAGGTTTTTAGATTGTGAATAAGAATACGTGGACCCACACCGTTTTCTTTCATTAACTGATGGATTCTGTAGTTGTATAGGGAGTCATCATGTCAGCTCTAACTTCAAATGTGTAGGAAAATAGTGTTGGCTGGTTCCCTCCTCATATCAGGAAAGAGGAAAAGGCAAATATCCCAGCAGAGTGCGTGGATGATTTTATTAGCATGGTAGTCTGTTTCTCTTTTCACGTAAAACCGTTAGTTTCGTGTGGATTCTGGCACACTGAGATTGTTCCATGTAACGTTTTTAAGTCTGTGACCTTTGGAAAGCAGATCTCAAATCCTCTCTACCTCCTCTTTCATTCTGACAAAGCTTATTTTTCATGGAAATAACTTCTGATAGGCTGGACAATTAGAATTGTGCTATATGCTTATCTGGAGTTCAATGAGTAGCTCATACAACCTAAAACTTTTTATTCGTTTGAATTATTTAAATTCTTTTGGCAGAAGTGACTCACTGTTATAAAGTTTGACGTTTATTTTGTTATTTTTAATAAAGGGTGCCTCATTTAAAACTTTAGACTAATTTCTGGCATGGAGGACTAAGGATTTCTTTACTTTTGTTTTCTCCCATGTGTGTTTTAACTTTTTAGATGTGTCTGGCATCAGAGGGACTGAAAGTAGAAGAATCAAAGCTACCCAGAGCAAAAGAACCTGGTTGTGGAAGAATTAGAGAACTGGAAAGGGGAAAAGAAGAAAGAGAAATAAAAATGGAGAAAAGAGAGGATGCCAACTTGCAGAAGGAAGCAGAATTTGAAAAATCCACCAAAGACAATGTCAGAGATCCAAAGGACGTAAGAAATGTTGAGGTGCTGCAAGTGGATGACATGAAATCTATAAAAATAGAAGACCCCAAAGAAATAAAAAAGGAAGAATTCGAGGAAGATCAAAAGAGTGGTCTTTTCCCTGATTTTTCGTACTCGGCCAGTAGCAAGATCATCATAAGTGATGTTCCTCCTCGAAAGGGTCACGTGTACCATCCTCATGGAATCATGATCATTGATGACCCCACAGCATTAAATAAACCCGAAAAGCTAAAGAAGAAGAAGAAGAAAAGCAAAATGGATCGACATGGAAACGACAAGTCCACACCCAAGAAGACCTGCAAAAAGAGGCAGTCCTCCGAGTCCGACATTGAGAGTGTCATATACACCATTGAAGCTGTAGCAAAGGGAGACTGGGGCATTGAGAAGCTTGGAGAAGCCCCTCGCAAGAAGGTCCGCCCATCCTCAAGTGGCAAGGGGAGCCTTTTGGATGCCAAGCCACCAAAGAAAAAAGTGAAGTCAAGAGAAAAGAAAATGTCAAAGGAGAAATTCTCAGACACTACCAAAGAGTCAAGACCTCCAGATTTCATTAGTCTTTCTGCCAGCAAGAACACTCCTGGTGAGGTGCCAGAGGGTTTAAAAGCAGAGCCATTGACCCCCACGGAGGATGCACTACCACCCAGCCTATCAGGGCAGGCCAAGCCCGAGGACAGTGATTGTCACAGAAAAATAGAGGCGTGTGGCTCCCGAAAATCCGAGAGGTCTTGCAAAGGTGCTCTGTACAAAACCCTGGTGTCTGAGGGCATGCTCACCTCTCTGCGAGCCAATGTTGACAGAGGTAAGTGGTACCTACCGTCCTGCAAAGGGAGTACAAAGACCAAGGTGAATCTCTCTTGACACCTATTCTAAGAACAGCTTCCAGAGCAATATGCTATCAAAATAACATCTTACCCTTGAACAGTTCTCTATGACTTATCGTACACATCTGTCTACTTAACAGGTTTTCTAGACTCCTTCAGTATATTTGTATTCCTTTTGGAGCTGTAGAGCTGAGGAAATAGATAATCAAAATAATTCAAGCTTTCTTTGTGAGTGGTATGGACTTGCTGCTTATTTAGATAAATCCACGTTGAATGGTTGGAGCTGGCTTTCAAACTGATGGAACGAAATATTCGTGAATCAAGCAGGTATACTTGGTCTAATCTTGACTTTTAGATTACGGAAGGGAATAGGTTACCAGGCCCTTTGCATTGGACAGCCGGAGAGATCATTAAAGTGAATGATTCTTTGCAATCCATCCAGGAAGCAGTTAGTGTGTCTACTTTTATTCCACAGATAGTGTTTCACATAAAATTCATCTACCTAAAAGTCTCCTATCTGGCTAGAGGACTACCTCATGCCTAGGTAAATTGTCTTACGAGATGTGAGAGCCGTAGTTTCAACGAGCTCTTGGGAATGCATCCTTCTCTAGGGATGTCGTTCCAATGGGTCTTTAAGCACACACAATTAAAAGCCTTCTCCCCTCCCACCACACACACACACACACACACACACACACACACAGACACAGCTTGTGGGGGGTCTGGTGGCTTTGAACCCATGGAGACAGACGCTTCTGAGCAGCACAATGATATGATGGCAATGACATTGTAGGTGACAGCTTCACACATTGAATTACACTATAATGAAAAAA